ATTACAAAGCTTTGAAGGTCGTAAAAGCCCAAAAGAGAAAAACTGCTACATGAAGAACTGTGCACCTGGGAACTTTCTTGAAGCACTTCAAGGAGTGTAATTTGGGACTCTTTTGAAGAGAGTTGCTGGCAGTGCTATTCTAGACATGATAATTGTTTTATCCATGTATTAATCATAATTGGTAAATGTAATATCATACAAGTTTATATAATCAATATACATATGTATGAGGGTTGACAAAAATTATTAGGCTCTGGTTATGTTGAACAAGGTTTTTACTTTGAGTCATTAATTAAGTTTTAATGCTATAGTTAAGTGTTTTATAGCTACTTTGAAGATTGTTTTAAGTTCATAAGTTTAAGTTCACACAATGATAAAATTGGTGCCTCAAAGATAATAATAATTGCTCAAGTGCCTATCTTAAGACAAAGATGTTTTCCAGGAGGTTGCCAAGCATAAGGGAAAACAGCCAAATCACCATTATCCTAAACTTAAAAACTCATTAGCAATTATGCAACCATAATAATTTTAGTTGTGTTAGTTTTATTTCATTATGTTTAGTTCACTTTATATGTTTATTCAGAGTAAATTTAAATGCTAGCCACTGTTGTTTGGTCAAGTTAATGGGCTTCATATTCCTACTACCACTAGGTACAATCTATAGTTTTGTTTTAGTGATTTTAAGGCTTTTTAAATTAGACAAGTGATGTGGAACCAAAATCAAAGTGAACCTTGTATGCATTATGTTTAGTTTAGGTGAAACTCCTTTTAAACTTATCTCAAGACTCATTAACTGAAAGTAGATAGTGTTTTTTGGCTTATTCGTTTCTTCTAAAGACCGCTAGATGGTGGTAACTTTTAAAGGATTTGTACGTGAAGGAATTTTCTTTGTCTTGCCCCTTTACAAATGGTATAAAAGCTTTCTGTTAACTAATAAAGGATGTCATCTGTTCAGGAAGCAGGTGTCCGAGTATAAGATTTTTGTCTTTCGCCTATCTGCCTCTCCTTCAGGAAAGCTCACGACCCGGCAAGGGGTTGGACCCCTTCAAACACTCAATGCGATGTGGGCAGGTGTGCTAGTGAAATGAGTAGATGCATTGAAAAAAAATCTCCCTCCAAAATTCACTGAAGCCAAACACAGCCAGTCACAACAATGCTAGCTGGTACACTGATGCCAGCGGGTTGCTAGAACACTTAGCTAGCGGGGGAAACCTGCACTATAAGGGGCCCACCCTCCAAAAGGTAATTCTAGTTTTTGGGGAGTTATCCCGTCATATGCATTGCCAGCGTTCAAACTTAGCTTGCTAACTCCTTGTGGCTTCAGCTGGTGTCCTGTGGCTACCAGTGTGCCAATTTCTTATAGTTCGGCCCTTAATGTAAGAGGCCTCTCCATCCAGCCTCTACTCTTCCTCTACAGTGCCTAGGACACAGGAATGAGAGAGCAAAGCCATGACAGTGTTGGGGCAACTTCCTGTTGATGTCACAAAGTCCTGGTGAGCAGGCAGGCCACAGAGTGAGGGTCACAGAGGATGGGGTCCCTTGTCACCAAAAGGGCATAGACTGAACATTCAATTTGTCATTTTGCCAGTCTGGAGGCTAGACTCAGCTAAACCAAAGGTTATTGTGACTCGAGGGAAGAGCCTACCCATTTTTATGAAAACCACCATTGAGCAATAATCCCTCATTGCAGCCAATAATCATAGTGTTAAATCTAGTGTCAAACTTGGCAGCAGAAATCTGCTTCTGCTGGAGGAAACGGCGACAGAAATAACGTGCTAGCTTAGCGTTTCTTTTTATAATCAGGAATTCTTGAAAATTAGGTATTGTTGCTTCACCAGAGGGCTTACAGCTGGTTGAGCCACACAAATGTACTAAAAAAAGGCTGTTGATGATAAGATTTAGAATTGCAATAATACTTGCTGTGGGGAGAAAGACAAAAAAGAAATAAAAAGTAGCTCTAACATATGCTTTGATTCAGAAACATTTTCTCTCCAGGGGCCACTTACCTCTAACAATACACTATTGATCATGGGGTTAAGGACCTCCGCCTTCTTGTTGCTCTGTGGAATGAGAAGTATGAAATTGACAGATTAGGTGCTTATACTACAAGGTTCATGGCTACAACGTAACACACTGGCTTTGTTGAGGGATCCCTTAGGAACCGGAGAGTGGAATGCTTACTACAGACCAGGTTTCCTATTTGGTGTGTTACCTAGATGGCCTCATTTAACTTCAGCAGAAATCCTAGGAGGTAAGTAGGCGTGATAACCCGATTTAAAGGTGAGAAAATAGGGCTCAGGGAGGTTGAGCAACCTGTTTAACACCACACAGGTAGAAATTTAAACTCAGACCCTTTTCACCATTGAAAGTTTGTAGCAGTCTTGGGATTAGAGTAAGATGAGAAACATCGAGTTGTACAAGTAAGGATTGGATCCTGTCTTTACTTAAAATTTTGATATTTTGTTGATGAATTTTTTTTGCATTTTTACTCTTAAAATGGTACATTGAAATATCTATCTAGATTACTGAGATTTTTTTTTCTTTTTTGAGCCCTCTTAAATTTTGCAGACAAATTAAGTCCCCACTCACCTAACTTAGCTCAAGCCCAGGTCTAGTCTTTGTTCTTTCTTCTTTAAAATGCAAATATGAATACTTTATTACAGGGCATATTTCAGAGGAGCAGCAAAATTAAAACATTCTCAAATATATATATTTGCAAATCCACATTTGAAAAACACAGATATATGTTTTTCACAGGTCTGCAAATCCATATTGGAAAAACACAGATATATGTCAAGCACAGAGAACAGAGCTTGGAAGAAAGGAGGTGCTCAGAAGGCAAAAGCTAGTTTTCTCATCATTATCCTTCCTTATGTTACTGGTCTATCAATCAACAGTCTTCTCTGACCAAAATGTTCAATCTACTCTTAGAAAATAAATCACTAAAGGGATGGGAGAGAGAGGGTAATCTTAATAAGCTAGTTTCTCTTACTGTATTTGTAAGAGTTTCTAGTAAAAAAATGCATAAATGAAATATACCTTCTCACAGCAGCCCACTTTCACTGACATGACTCTACTGAGAGTTGGGTAGTGTCTCACTGAGGAAATGATAATGGGGTCTTGAGGGGGAAAAAAAAAACCTTTAAAAGCCCAGACATTTTAGTAAGTAACCAGAAAACCCGTTATGGTTTTTGCTTTCATGTTTATTTGATTATCAATAAGCCTCTAAAACATAATCAAAATGAGGGCAATAAAATGACATTGGTTTTTCAGAATCAATGAGATGTGCAAGCAATTTAAATAGAGTCTGGGGAGCAATAGACACTCATTAACTTCATGTTATGAATAATGGCTGTTTTTGAGAACAGAAACAATGACTTGATGTAAATAATTCATCACAGCACAAGATTAGAGTATCGTTGTGGTGAGATGGCATATCAGAAAACTCTGCTTTACATCCAGCTTTTTTCTTCTCCAAAATTATAACCCGTGTATTCTTGATTTGATGTGTGCAAACATTTGTGTACACGTGTGTCTGTGTGTATGAAAGTTCAAGCACACAGCCAACTGCAGGAGCCTTGCTACATAAAATGGGGACTGTTGATCAGGAATACTGTCATCACCTGAGAGATTATTAAAGATGTAGAATTTCAGTCCTCATCCCAAACCTACTAAATTAGAACCTACATTTAACAAGATCTCTAGGTGATTCATGTGCACACTAAGGTTGAGTGTGCTGGGATACAATACATTACAAGGAATGGAAAGTGTTACTATGACTATTACCCCCTAATGTCAATCAATTAATGTTTAACATAAATTGTATAAAACACCACAGAGGCATACACATACATGCACATACACACACACACACACACACACACACACACACACACACACACACACAGACATACCCTCAACCCTAGACAACCACAGAGAACCAAATGTTTGGCTCTCTGTCTGACAAACAACCAACTGGGAGTTGGTATCTGTCTGACAAACAACCACCTGGGAGACCAACTGAAAGGCCTGAGTAAATCAGTTCACACCCCTGGGCCTCAGTTTCCTCACCTAGTAACCTGTCAAGAGAATAACAAGAAGGTACAATAGAGCCTTGGGAGCCTAAGTACCAAGCCCATTCCATCCTGACAAAGACCTCACACTCTCTGCAAACCTAGCCATGGGCGTCACATAACTCAGACAACACTGAGCATGCAAATGTATATTATCCAGCCCATGGTATCAGAGAGCTTCCTCTCCCGCATCACGCTATCTGTATGAAGCTCTATTTCTGAAGGCCTAAAAGCAGACAAAGATAAGCCCTGATGTTTTACTAAACCGGAGAAGCAAACCAGATTTCTTTTTTCTTTTTCTTTTTGAGTTGGAGTCTCACTCTGTCACCCAGACTGGAGTGCAGTGGCTGCTCCCGGCCACCACAGCCTTGACCTGCTGGGCTCCAGTGATCCTTCTGCCTCAGCTTTCCAAGTAGCTGGAATTACAGGTGCACGTTACCACGCCCGGCTAATTTTTTGATTTATTGTAGAGATGAGGTCTCACCAAGTTGCCCAGGTGGGTCTTGAACCAGATTTCTTAACAGCAGAATGAATAGGCGATGTGTTGCTAACTCACCACTTGTTCACTGAGTCACTTAAAGAAGTGTAGGGGACAGACATCTTTTGGGGTGACAGCCAGGTCCATGATCATGTCTTACTTCTTTTGAGAACTTCTCTTGGCCTGGGGAAGGGGCACGTGCCCCAGCAGCCAGGTAGGTCTGCATGATGTGACCCTATCCCCAGGTCCTGCTGAGTGATGCCAAAGTAGACATGCGGCCCATGCTGATGAGCTTTTCAAACCTTCCTACCCAGGAACCAGGAATTTGAACAGAAAGACACAGGGTCTGAGAATTGTTGTCTTTGAGTCATATGAATAGCAACACTTGAGAGAGAGAAAGAGACAGAGAGAGAGAGAGAGCATGAGCTGTGGGGCTGGGTCCCTACAGTTTTCATGTTTCCCTGCTGACTTTCATAAAGCCCCTTTACTGGTTAAATTATTTGGAATTTGTTTCTGTTGCTTTCTGTTATGGGTTGAATTGTGTCCCCTCTCTCCCCAAAAGACATCCTGAACGCCTAAATCCCAGCACCTCAGGCTATGACTTTATTTGGAGATAGGGTTATTGTCAGTGTGATAAGTTAGGATGAAGTCACATTGATCATACCCTAACCCAATGGGACTGGTGTCCTTGTAAGAAGAAGGAAATTTGGACACAGACATGCATGGAGGGAAGATGATGTGAGAAAATACAGAGAGAAAAAAGTCACATATAAACAGAAAGATTGGCTGGGCGTGGTGGCTCATGCCTGTAATCCCAACATTTTGGGAGGTCAAGGTAGGAGGATTACTTGAGCCCAGCAATTTGAGACCAGACTGGGCAACATAGTGAGACCTCGTCTCTACAAAAATAAAAAAAATATTAGCTGAGTGTGGTGGTACGTGCCTGAAGTCCCAGCTACTTGGGAAGTTGAGATGGATTGCCTGAGCCCAAGAGATCGAGGCTGCGGTGAGCTGTGATCATGCCACTGCACTCTAGCCTGAGTGACAAAGTGAGACCCAGACTCAAAAAGAAAAGAAAAAGGCAGAGAGATTGGAGTTTTGCAGCCACAGTCAAAGAATTCCTGGGGTTACAAGGAAGGATTCACCCTTAGAAGCTTTGGAGGGAGCATGGCCCTGCAGACACCTTGATTTCAGATTTCTAGCCTCCAGTACTGTGAGAAAATACATTTCTATTATTTAAGCCACCTAGCTTGATACTTTGTTACAACAGTCCTAGAAAGGAATACACTTGCAACCCTAAACACCTGAACTAAGACAGGAAATAAAACCACTGGTTTCTCATGGAAAGGATAATTAGACTTTGTATTCAAGATTTTAGAAGAAAAAAATGGAAGGCTAAAGGGAATGTTTTCCACTTGTCTTCTCTGTCGCCACCAAGGTGGAACTACAAATGTGACTGATTTCTGATTAGAATAGCTAGAAGCCACACCTCCAGCTGAATACTGAATCTTTCAAAGTTGTTACTCTGAGAACAGAAACACTTAAGCCAATTGGGAATATTTTTTTTTCTTTAGATTCAAGTTGAAGTGTGATAACAAAACAAAGAAACTTCTTATCTTGTATGGCTCTAAGGGCAATAGGGAAAAGGATATTCAACATTGGGCAACCCTCTTGGGTCTCCTCCCACTGTGGGAATTTTTCTGTCCTCTCAATAAATCCTACTTGAAAAAAAAAAAAAAAGAATATTCAACATTAATCATTTTAATAGCGATTCCTGAATTACATATACCACAGATATTAAGCAAAGAAAGGAACTGTCATCTGACACTTAAACAAACAAATATATTGAGTGCAATGCGCACAGGTGAGGGTGGTGGGTACACTTAAAGCCCAGATTTCTTCGCCACTATGCAATGCATTCATGTCACCAAAAGCTATTGAAATAAAGAAAATAAATGAGGCCCACAGGGGTTTGAAAACTCACTCACCCAACATCTCGTAAGTCTGGGAAGGCAGGTTCAGGGTTAGAATCCAATCAGAGGAGAGCTTTCCACTGCCTATTGTCAGAAAGCTTCTCTTGGTCTGATTTTAGCATATATCAGGGAGCAATTTCTGTTTGGTGATTTTAGCATATATCAGGGAACAATTTCTGTTTGGTGGAGCTATTAAAGAAGATGCTGCCTCCTCCGCATTTCCTCACAGCTCCTCACAGACCCATTTCTCTCAGTAAAAAAGGGGGAGGGGAGAGGAATAAATATCGTCATCTTACCCCAACAGTGGTTAAAGAATTTGTAAATTTCTTTGATAAAGAGGCCACTTCATTGCACATTGCAGTAGTTAATCTGAAATAAGAAAAAGGAGGTTTGGGAGTTTTCAATGAGGCAAAATAATTTAACTGTCATGAAAATTACTTATATGAATGCAGTATCATGTTTAAAAGTATGGCACACACATTGCAAGATGTGCTATAGATGTGCAATCAGACAGCTTTCCCCAGTGCTCTTTCATGATTCACACTCACAATTCCACCCAATTCTGGTTTTCTGTCCATGCTTCATTAAAGAATGACCACCTAACTCACTTGACCTCTTTTTAGAATCAAATCAGAAAACCTTGATTTCCACATGGAGAGAGGTATAGACTCCTGCCAGGTGGCTTCCGTCTAGCCTTTTCATTTCAAAATAATAATGAATATTCATTGAGGCACTATGTTAAATACTTTTGTATGCCTAATCACATTTAATCCTCATAGTGTCCTTGTGGGTCATATTATTATTTTCATTTTATGTAGGTGAAAAAAACCTGACATTTAAGAAGACTAAGTCAGATCTTAGGATATGTAGCAGAGGTGGGATTAAATTCAGGTGCCTCTTGATATTTTGATTATGTTTTTATTAGATGCCTAAAAAAAAGATCCCATAAAATATGTTTTAAAAACGTATCAAAATTCCAAGTTTATTCTGGCCATTCCACTTCTAGGACTTTAACACCCCCCCAACAATGCAAAGTAGATACAAATATTTAATCAAAACAGTGCTTATTCTAACAGTATGGATGATGACAAAATCTAAAAACAAGTTTAATTACCAATAATAAGAATATTGCCTGATTTTTTCTAATTGTTAGTGCATATGACTTTTATAAATAGTGACTAAAATGCTATGGGAAAAATAACCTCAAGTTAAGAAAATCTTGTTAAGAGATCTAGTAAAATCAGTTGGGGTAAATTTTGTTTTGGTAAATAGGGGCCCGATGTAACCTATTTATTCACATTTTATGAGCTAAATTCATCCATCCATCCACCCATCTACCCATCCACCCATCCATCCATCCATCCACCCATCTACTCATCCACCCATCTATCCAAACATCTATCCATCCATCCATCCATCCGTCCATCCATCCATCCATCCATTCATCCATCCATCCATCTGTCTGAAACTTATATGTAGAAAGGGTCAAGGATAAGGCCAGGGGACAGCTCAGAAGCCATTTTGACTACATTCTTGGTCAGGTGGGTGTAGAGGCAGTTATAGTAGACATACCAGGGCTTTAGAGCAGTTTGGTAAGGGTGGGACAATCAGGGCTGGGAATCAGAAAGGACAACGAGTAAGGCCCTGCTATCCACTCAGGGACTTCTGAACTTCAGCCCTGCTGTTTCAAATCAGAACCGCAGAGATAAACTAGAGCCTAGATATTGTATGCAATATTTTACACTTTTCCTACTTTCCTCAATATCTAAAACTTTTGTTCTTTTTCTTCCTCTTATATGTTAAGATAAGTATATATTATTTCTGACAAATATGAAGGAGGGATTATATGGTTCTTATACTATTTTGGATTTTTACATGCTTAGATTTGAAAATCTAGACTATATGACAAATCTTTTTTTTTTTTTTTTTTTTAAGTTGGAGTCCCACTCTGTCACCCAGGCTGGAGTGCAGTGGCATGCTCACAGCCAGTGCCGCCTTGACCTGCTGGGCTCAGGCGCTCCTTCTGCCTCAACCTTCCAAGTAGCCAGAACTACTGGCATGCGCCACCATGCCCGGCTAATTTTTTGATTTATTGTAGAGATGAGGTCTCGCCAAGTTGTCCAGGCTGGTCTTGAATCCCTGGACTTAGGCAATCCTCTCACCTCTGCCTCCCAAAGTGCTGGGATTACAGGCTTTAGCCACTGCACTTGGTGACAAAACTTTATAAGTTAAAAAAAAAAAGCCACCAGTACAAAGATGCTAAGGTAGACTCTTTGGAAGGTCCTTCCACTAAAAACGTACTCCCTAACCTATAATGCCAAAAGCAGTAATAAGCAAAGACTACTTAGCTAACAAAGTGAATGAGTGTGCTGAGATGTGTGTGTCCCCATATATTTTCAGGGGGCTCCTGTACTTGTATAATAACAAGAGGGTACTTGGGCCAGTACTTATTTTCAATATCACAATATACAATTATATGCATAAAAGTAAATGGCTATTTTCAGCTCCATACCAACTATGTTCATGTATAAATATTCACTAGATCTCATATTCATGTATATACTTTTTACTTGATAAACTAATAATAGCTGCTATTTATTGAAGAACATAACCTATGACAACACATGTGTGTACACATGCAATCCACCATGAACTGGCTTACATTCGAGGCCATCATAATCAGAGTTCAGAACATGCAGAGCTGGTATAAGTCCCTAGGAACAGTGGGGTGTGCTTGCCTGTTTCTGTGACATTAGCTGAGAAGTTAAAGTGTCTTTTCTCTATTTATGTGGTATGTTGAAAATGTAATTACCCTACAAAGTCTTTATTTCCAAGTTTTTGATGTATTAAAATAGATACTTTTATGGTTCTGAATGATTTAGTGTGTCCTTTAAATATCTTCACAAATAATTTCTAGAATGGCTAGCTAATTATTCTTTTTCCTGCTAACATAGTGCATTTCTTAAAGGAGTCATGATTTCTTAAGATGACCACAGAACAATGGAATTAGTTGACTTGAAATATAAATTTTTAGTGGTCTAAAGTGTGTGTGTGTGTATTTGAATGGCACACACACAAGCACACACATACAAATATATATATAATTGGAAAAATAAGAATCAAAAGTAACATGCATCAGAAATAAAGTAGCATTTACTTTATCAGAACTTTTGCTTGGTCCTCAGCTGGTTTTTCCTCTTCTTGTCCATGAAGAACTAATTCTGCTACTTTATGAAGCTGTTCGATACAGCGTGCTGTCACTTCTGCCAGGCTTTCAATAGATAACATGTATACTTCCTGAAGTGAATAAATACAAGGAAGAAAATTATTCACCAAGCAGTTGCTTTAAAAAAAACAACAACAAAACCCTGTGACATTAAACATAGTATAATTATTTTAAAAAACCCAAATATAAAACGAAAAAGTTTACCTGAAGATTATGGGTCTAAGACTTTTCTAAGTGCAATGTTGCTATAAAATGGAAGCACCACCAGGTCTCCAGGGACCTGGAAAGACTATTCACAGCTGCATCCTCAGTACTTATGAAATTGGCCTGACTTCCTTATAGAACTAATGGTTTTGTTTTTTTTTTAAAGTAAACACAGAAATTGACCTCCTGGTCATAAAACCTGAAGTTTACATTTGTCTTCTCTGAGTTCCTTTCACAGGAAACCGATTCTCAGACCTACAGTATCAAGGAACTGAAACTCCCCAGATCACCACATCCAGACAATGAAATGCCAGATCCCTCCCTAATTCCTGTTTTCTATATTCTTGCCCCACTTTATAAGCTCCTGATTTCAGTGGAACAGGAAGCCAGATTTGAGACGAAATCTCCTGTTCTCCTTGCTGATATCACCTAAATAAAAAGCCTCTTCCCCAGCTATAGTGCTTGTCTCAGTGACTGACTTTCTGTGGGACCTCAACTGAACCTCGGGCATTTTGACAACACAGAGCAATGCTTGGCACATAACAGACAGGTGCTCAGTAGTGTTTGGGGTCAGGTGTGGTGGGATTACACCTGTAATCCCAGCACTTTTGGAGGCTGACACGGGAGGATCGCTTGAGTCCAGGAGTTCTAGACCAGCCTGGGCAACTTGATGAGACTTTGTCTCTACAAAAAAAATTAAAAAATTAAGCCAGTTGTGGTGGTGCATGTCTGTGGTTACAGCTACTTGGGAGGTTGAGGCAGAAGGATCGTCTGAGTCCAGGAGGTAGAGGCTGCAGTGAGCTGTGATCTGTGATCATGCCACTGCACTCCAGACTGGGCATCAGAGTAAAACCCCCTTAAAAAGGCATGTGGAAGGAAGGCTGAATGAATATGCCTGAATGGACATTTTTCCTTGGAATGATCAAACCTAAAAAAGTTACTTTCTTTAAAATTAAAATTCATTGTAAGATGAAGTTTTTGCAAATTCCTTTTTTGAACATAGGCAGGATATAAATTATGCACACACAAATGTATTAAACGAAAGAATAAAAGCTGCAGCAATAAAATTTTTTTTATAAAAAAGCTTCAATTACCTCATTAGTTATGGGCATAAAGATGTTTTATAGTAACACATTTGCATATTAGATAGAATTCCATCCTAAAGATAAATCAACTATGTTATTAAAGATCCTTTTCCCTCTAAATTATAATTGTAAAGCTCTGAAGAAAAGCTACATAATCTGCACTAAGCCACTAAGTCTTGGCATAGAGAAATTTTAGTGTTTATTACATTCCTATTCATGGTTCTATAACATGGAATAGGGTACAAATAAAAAAGAAATGGCCCTTTCTCACTTAAAGTTAGGCTGCTAATAAGGCAAGCATGTTATTACTACCCTTTAGGTGGAAAGTCTAGAATAAGTTTACCTCCACGGTCTTCATGCTCTTTTCTTCCTTTTTGTCTTCTTGAGGGTCTTCGGGTTTTTCTTCCTTTTCTATCTTCTTCATTTCCTCCTCTGATTCTTTTGTGACATCTACTGACACTGGGGTGTGACCCTCTTCCACCCAGTCATGCGCTTTCTTCATGGCCTGCAATGGCCCACAAACAAACATGACATTTATTATGCAAATATTAGAAACTAAGTCATTCAAACCCCATGCCTAGAATCAAGTTGCTCTGAACCTTCAAGAATGGATCTCTGTGTGTATAAAGGATGATGAAGCAATTCCTCAGTCCCTTAAAAGATAACTTTGTTGTTGCTTTCTGATAAGTATAAAGCAGGAAAAAGGAGACAGAATAGAAAGGAAGTATGGGGAAAACATTGTAAGGCCTGAGGACTTTTACAAAAGGATCTTATGTTTTTGTTTGTTTTTGAGTTGAGATCTCACTCTGTCACCCAGGCTGGAGTGCAGTGACATGATCACAGATCATCACAGTCTTGACCTCCTGGGCTCAGGCGATACTTCCACTTCAACCTCCCAAGTAGCTGGAATTACAGGTGCACACCGCCACACCTGGCTAATATTTCTGACTTTTTTTTTTTTTGTAGTGACAAGGTCTCACTATGCTGCCCAGGCTGGTCTCCGACTTCTGGACTCAAGCAATCCTCCTGCCACAGCCTCCCAAAGTGGTGAGATTACAGGCATGAGTCACTGTGCCCAGCCTAAAAAAGCATTTTAAAAATGGTATTCAGATAATAATAAAAATGACAGTCACATTGAAAAAATCTATGGTATATCTTTCACATTTCATGACCAATTGTAAAAGAATAGCAGTATCTTTTTTTTGTGTGTGTAGATTAGAAATTGAGCCAGGGCCATGGCTGAGGCAAATTTTCTCATCTGATCTGTATCATGAAGCTCTTAATGTTTCATGAACCTAATAATGTATCAGGTTGGGAAGGTGAAGAATGGCTCAGTGCATCTAGATTGCTGACAGGCCTTCTGACCTCAAGGGGAGAAGAGAAAGGCTGCTGGCAAGACCTGGTGCTGCTCTGTGAGTAGGTTAACTTCACATGAGTGCAGTTAAGCAGCCCATGGCCTTAAAAGACATGGCTAGCTGGGTGTGGTGGCTCATGCCTATAATCCTAGCACTTTGGGAGGCCGAGATGAGAGGATTAACTTAGCCCAGGGGTTTGAGACCAGCCTGGGCAACTTGGTGAGACCTTGTTTCTGGAATAAATAAAAAAATCAGCCAGGCGTGGTGGCACACACCTGTACTTGGAAGACTGAGACAGAAGGATTGCCTAAGTCCAGCAGGTAGAGGCTGCAGTGGCCGTGAGCATGCCACTGTACTCCAGCCTGGGCAACAGAGTGAGACTTTGGCTCAAAACAAAAACAAACATACAAACAGCAACAAAACTCATGATAAAATTAAACAAGCAAAATCTACTTCCCCTATCTATTTAGTCCCTGAATTTAGAAAGGACAGACTCACCCAGATGTTAACATTATAGTCTAAGTTGTTTGCTTAAGGATAAGTTGATTTCTGAGCTGATGCCAAAGTTACTTCCTGAAGCCTTAAAGTGTATAGTATATCAGAATGTAGAATGGCAAGTGAACAGCAAGAAGATCTGGGGAGAGAAAACCCAGTGAAACTGTCCTTAGTGAGTCCTCTTTTAGGGACAAAGTCTTACTCTATGTAAACAAGCAGTGGAAGCTTGGAGTCACCACATGCCCCCTTGGCAATGGCAGGTGCTGCACAGAGATGAATGAGACAGTTTCCCACTGTGTTCAAGGCACTGACCTGCCAGAATCAGTGACCCCTATTGGAGATAAATAAATTACTCCTCCCGACACCTTCCTGCCTCATTCTGCCCTTCCTGACCCACCCTGATAATTAAGTGTCCATGTAAACCACTGCTAGCTAACAAGAAGGAAAAAGAGAGAGAAAAACAAGAGAGAACTGGAAAACATCACACAGTTTTAAATAGTTAATGATCACGTCTTCTACAGAAATTTCACAAGATCTTATACTAACTTGCAAGACATACTGTGGTATTATTAGAGGAGACCAAACTGTGATGCTGGAATGTTCTTAGGCGGGATGAAGCACGTGTGTTCCAGGTGTGAGGAAACATGCAGCCCACCTGGTTGACATACTGCAGAATTCTGCCTAATCCTGGCATGTCTCCTTAAAAGTGAGAGGGTGGAATTTGGACCCCACTCCCCTTGGTGACTCTTTGCCCCGTGAAGATAACCGCTGGTCAGATCTAATATTCACTTTTGCCGTGAAAAGGTAAGTGACTTGTTCAAGGTCACAGGTAATCACTGATAAAATTACAGCTAGAATGCAGATCTCATGGCACAGTCTCACATGTTATCTACCATTACATCTTATGTCACCTTTTTCAAACCTTAATGACTGACTTCAAACTTCCCTGCCCCCACTGTACCACATAGAATTTGGGGTTTTTCCATTTCAGGTAGACTTCTGGAATTTTACAAAGGAGGATCCCCCCCGCCACCCATGCCTCCCTTTTTATAAAACAGCTCCGATCCGATGGTGCTGACCTTATTGAGTTTGTCAGGCGTGGCTGCCACATGTAATTCAAAGAGCAGCTCTGTAAGCATGCTGGCAAATTCTTCTCCCTTTTCTTCTAAGCCTAGAAATAGAACAAAACAGAAGTAAGAAGCGTGATTTATTTTTCATCCTTTGGAACATGGCAGCCCCCCTAACCTTACAGCCTGCAGTCAGGGTAGACTAAGTGAAGGCTGTAGCTGCCTGCCTGCCAGCTGCTGGGCAGAGATGAATGTCTTCCATTCGTGAGTGCAGTGGTGAGGCCACAGCTGTGGCTAGGTGAAGGACTGCTGAAACCTCCAGCAGGGACCCCCTGAGGCAGCACAAAGGGCAACAGGAGGGCAGGGAGGGACTTCACCTGTCTTGTTCACAGCCATCGTTGAAAGAATGATGGAAATAAAAAAGTAGATGACCTTTCCCAGGCCTAAAATACCTGGGACAACAGCATATTTAGGACTTAGAGTATTGCTATGTTTAGCATTGCAACCCTAGTCCACAGAGCACAGTGCTGAGTAGGCAGAATTAGTCTCAACCATTCCTCTGGAGAAATTTCCCAAGGTTCCCTCAGACACCCATCTGGTTCTACAGTATTTCTTAATGATCTGTCTTCCCTTTACACTAGAAATTGTGAGGGCAAGAGACAGTACTTGCTTTGCTTGTTCTTGAATCTAGAACATCTAACCCAATACCTGGAACATAATAGGTACCAAAAGGAATCTTTACTGAATAATTGATTAATAAGTTACCTGACATACAATAATCTTATACTATATTAGTTATGTATAACATCTGTAATACATCATATATCATAAAATAAAAATAAATTAGGGTTACTGGTGGGCAGTAAAGAGAGATTTTTCAAAAGTGACAATCTTACTTTGCTTTTTTGTATCTATGGGCAAGGCCTTTTAAAAAAAGTTTCTGATAGGTGCTAAAGACTTGATTCCACAATGGGCCTACTACCAGTTTTAGGGAGAACAAAAGCATCATCAATCTGGTCTGATTACATGATCACAAAACTCTCTGAGAAGAAACAACCTTGGCTGTTACCAGTGGGTGAAGGTAGTACTTTCAGGGGAGACTAATCCATGTGAGAAATATTGCACCAAACGCTGGTCTAGATATGCTATTTACTGCTTTGTAAATACAATGATTAACCAGCCCCTCATGAAGACAGACACAGTAGCTTCTAGGTATTTGCTTAAAACATTTGGCTTAGTTTCTTATTACCTGTAATATATACATTCTCAAGAGGGAGACAGATCAATAATAAAAAATATGTCAAGCGATATGTTTTATGTTATAAGCCAAGGGAGAGGAACAAGGCAGTAGGAGTTTAGGAAGTTTAAGTAGGAGGTTCTGGGGTCCGAATGTCTGTGTACCCCCAAATTCTTAGTTTGAAGACTTATCACCAGCATGATGATATTAGAGGGTGAAGCTTTTGGGAGGTGTTTCAACAGAGAGTGGAGCCCTCATCAATGGGATTAGTGCCCTAATTAAAGGGGCCCAGGGAGCTAGCTGACCCCTTCCATCACATGAGGACACAATGAGAAGGTGCCATCTATGAATCAGACAGCAGGGACCCTCACTACATACTGAATCTGCTGGCACTTTGATGTTGGGTTTCCAGTCTCCAGACCTGTAAGAAATAAACTTCTGCTGTTTATAAGCCACCTTGTCTATGGTATTTTGATATAGCAGCCCAAAGGGATGAAGAAGGTGACACTTGAGAAGTGACCCAGAGGAGGAGAGCAATGAGCTGAAAGTGTCTAGTGGAGGGAGCTCCCAGCAGTGGTACAGCAAAAAAAAAGTCCAGGAGGATCATGTTGGCAGGTTCAGGGGACAGCAAGGAGGTCATGTGGCTACAGCAGAGCAAGGGAGGTATGTGCAGACTGGTAGGGAGAGATGACTGTCTTTGCTCATGATGATGCCACAACATGAAGACGTTTTAACCCAAAGAGGCAAGTGCTCGAATGGGCTTTTACAACACTTAATTCAATTCTCAGAGGGATGCTTAGCAGGATTCCTGGAGGAGGTGATGCCTGAACAGATCCAAATGAGAATGTATTAGCTATACAAGAGAAGAGCTGAGGGCTAGAGAGTCTTGGAGACAGAGTGATAGAGATAGATGATGGTTGGATGGATGGATGGATGGATGGATGGATGGATAGAGAGAGAGAGAGAGAGAGAGAGAGAGGAGATAGAGATTGATTCCATCAAAAGCCGAGATTCTTTCTCTGCTGGGCAGAGGTCTTGGTCTCATCCTCTCTAAGCAGGCAAAGTAAGAGGGGCTAGGGCATGTCAACAAGGTCTCCTTTCCAAACTGCCTGCTCCTTCTCATTCATTGTCATGGGACAGAAAGAGCCCTGGACAGAGACTTGGAAGGCGTGGGCTCTACTCTTGCATTTAGTGACTCTGTGGCCTGAGGCCAGTCACAGGGCTTCCTCACTTTCCATTTCCTCCTCTGAAAATTGAGGATTAATAATACCCATCTCCTCTTTGCAAGACCTAATACTACAAAAAATGGGAAGGTGTTTTGTAAACATGAAAGTTTTATGTAAATAAATTGTTATGTGCTGCACAGACAGGGAGACTAGAAATATTTTAGAGGAATCAACACTAAATTAGGATGCAAGTACTTTACACAGCTCCAGCTTTTAAAGGTGCATTAATTCTATAACACATACACCAATAACTTTTAGCAAATATTTTAGGAAAAAATCATAGAGAAAGATGGAAGTAGGTAAAAACAGACGATAATATATGTTGCAACAAAGAATACCTATTACTACAACCCTGGTCTGTATCCATGGCCAAGAAGATCTTCCCCAAAGCAATAAAAATAGAAAATGGCCTTTTAAAATCTCTTCTCAGCTGTGGTAAATCAAATTAGAGACCCATGGCAGTGTGATAAAATTACACTCTGCTGGAAAGACAAACATGCAAATCATTAGCTAACATTATTAAATGCAGAGGAGACCAATGTTAAATTGATCTAAAAATGACAGTTTATTACATTTTTTGAGAGTACCAAATAAATTATTTAGTTGTTATGATGCTTTTAGGAATGTAATGCTTACAAGGAAAAAATCTGATAAAAATGCTCTTTTTTCTCAAAAAATTTGGCTCCTAGGTTTTCTGCTCATCCTTACTGATAGGATTCCTCTCTGTAGCTTTTGGATACTGCTTTTTGGATTTGTAACACTCCGTCATATAATTGAATTGATTTAATGACACACCTCTATTCTTTTCTCCCAGTTCTCTGTTAAGTGTTTGAATGACATTTACTTATTAAATTAATTAAAATTAATAGTGTTTTGATAATTGGGAGATACCCTTTGGGAAAATGAACATATTACAGGAGATAACAGGGTTTTGTCACTTAAGGAGAGACAAATCTACCATTTCTTAAAGCATGCTACTCAGCATTTCCAATTTGTGTGTGTGTGTGTGTGTGTGTGTGTGTGTATGTGTGTGTATGAGTGATATTCAAAAATCTCAATTTACTGAACCTCTACAATAAGACTGGAACATAACACCTATAGCAACATATTCTATTTAATAGTACCGAGTCAAGTTTCTTCTCCAAGAGAACCAGCTGGGGTTACAATATTGCCAAGAGATACTGACAACAATATTTCTTTGACATTGGAAGAATTTGGAAAAAGGAGAGCATCCTTCCTAAATAACACCATAAAGAGGACCCAGGTCTACCTGAGGCATCATGAGACTTGAAGAGGACTAGCCTGATGCTTTGTGGTGATTGCTAGTCTGGGAAAGGGGCATCTATTTACCTAGTTCATCCTGGGCCAATAATGTGAGCTACATGACCTTTAACAGCTACTGTGCATGTTTCTTCATTAGAAAAACAAAGACAAGGCTGTCATCCTCTGTAACTTTGGTAGAAACATATAAAATAAAAAACATGATTCCCTAACTGTTTCTTTGATTTTGACCTCTTTCTATGATTTGGTATAACTGATTCTTTTATTCTGATGCAACAAGCATAAATCTCATTAAGCTGAAGGAACACAAGGTCAGTATATTGGGGCAAAAGAGGGAAATGTATCTCAATGACAGCTTATGCATGCATGGAATACTTTTGCCCCGAGTACGGAGGCTCAAGCATTTGAACTCTAGTGTCTGAGCTTTGATCTCTTTAAAGGTATGTGACATACCTGGGCACAAAATGCTGCCAGCAACTTATGAATACATATTATCATTACTTTGCATGGTGGGTAATAACAAGCATAATAATAATCAACAGTTGCAATTTATTGCACCTTTAGTATTTTCCTGGCCTTGTGTTAGCACTTGAAATAATAAAAACAGCTAATATTTTTGAGCAGTTCTGTTTGCCAGGCACTGTGATGTATGTTTTCGCATATGTTACTTAATACAACCCTTACAACAGCCCTGGGGAATATGTCTGTATTTTACAAATGAAGATACCAAGTTTCAGAAAGGTAGCACAACTTGTTCAAGGACATAGGGCAAGAAAGTGGTGAAAATTTTCCAAATGGGACCCTACTGAGGGTCCCAGAAAGAGACAACCTGCGACTGTGGTTGCTTGACCTTTTAGCATAACCTGCTTGAAAAACCTGTGAGTAGTGCTTGGCTATGACATTAGGAAGAAATAATTGTCCATGTATTCTGTTCTATACACAAATGTTTGACTTTCTTCTATTCCCAAATGAACAAGTTATAGTCATCACTAAGCATGCCCAACTTTAAGAATAATTTCCCCCTTCTTAAGGAAGCCTTGCTTCGCATAAAACAGGTTCTAGCCTGGGAGCCATGGCTCACACCTATAATCCCAGCACTTTGGGAGGCTGATGTGGGAGGATTGCTTGAGGCCAGGAGTTTGAGACCAGCTTGGGCAACATAACGAGACCTCATCTCTACAAAAAAGAAAAAAAGAAAAAAAAATTAGCCATGGGTGGTGGCGTGTACCTATAGTCCCAGCTACTCAGTAGGTTGAAGCAGAAGGATCGCCTGAGGCCAGGAGGTCGAGGCTGTGATGAGCCATGATCGTGCCAGTACACTCCTGCATGGGTGACAGAGGTGCACTCTGACTCAAAAAAAAAAAAAAGATGGGGGTCTCTAGTCTCTTTGGGGATCGAGCCATTACCTAGCTGGAATATTATCAGGAAGTGCATACCTGGGCCACTTCAATCATTACCAAACTGACCCATCAAGCCCTGGGGCACTGTAGGAAAATAGTACAGGCCAGCCTTTGTCAGAATTGTGCTTTCTAGGTGTACCACAGGATGCTTATAAATATACCCTAACATCTCCACATATGTGTTCAAAGGAATAAAAATCATCTGCAAAGAAACATATTGAAAGACTTGCCCACCATCAATGTTAATCACAATAAACAATTCTCAAATGCAGATAAAAATGAGAAGAGAGAGCATAGACTCTAGTCATCAGGGCTCTATTTAGCCCATCAGGCTCTTTGTTCATTTGACCATGTGCATTTATTGTGTGCCTACGATGTGCACTGGGTTGAACACCAGAGATGTAATGGGAGTTCCTGCCCAGCCAGAGAGGATTGTAAATCAATGTGACCAGCTCCTATAACAACAGCAGATGCACTGAGTAGTTTGGAAGCATGAAGGGGGGAGCTCTGGAAATAAATAAGTCCACCCTGTTCAAAGGGCTGTGTTTATGAACTGCAGCTTCATACGGATTATGCCAACAGTTTGTCTTGCTATTTAGCTTACTTTTCCATACCTTGTTCTCCTTGGTTCTCTTCATTCTCTAATTCTTTGGCTGCAAAGATGTCTTTAATGGAAATTAGGTCATGTTTTAAGAGTTCCAGCTTCTCTTCTTCAAGTGATGCTAAAAATGACTGAACCTGAAAAAAAAGAAATAGGTCAGCAAAACTGTCATCTTTTCCTCTCATTAATAACATTTACATACAGCTGTGCACAGTTTTCCCAGGACTGAGTACTTCATGGTGTGGGAGGTAATGCTGGGTTGGATGCTGGCTTACTGCATATTAACCGTGCGACTTGGGGCAAGTTACATAAGCTCCCTGACCCTCCATTTTCTCATTACCGAAGTGAGATCCTTTGTGGAGTAAATGAGATAAATAAAGAACATGGCACAAGTGTACACAGTAGATGCTAAACAAATGGTAGTGGTAGTTCTTCTATCATAATAACTAAAAACACACTTTGGCATCAACCCTGGGGTCAGAGATCAGCTCCTTGCTTACTAGTGTGACCTTGGGTAATTTAATCAATTTTCTATGCCTCAACTTCCTTATCTGTAAATTGAGGACTAATGGCATCTATACGGTTGTTTTGAAAGTCAAATGAAACAATGTATTTAAAATACGTACAGTGATGCTCAAAAATTATACATATTTATGCATTCACATGTAAACATATAAGTAAATGCACTCTGTATATCCACATATACACTTGCTAGATGTTGCTGATTGTGCTGGGATTACAAAAATGCACAAGGTACACATTTCTTCTCCGAGATCTTGCAGTTTAGGAGAGGGAGGTCCATGTCAGCCAAGAATGGCCATGACACTTGAGCGGAGGATACACTGAGGATGCCGGGGAGGGAGCTGTAGCTCTCCCTTGGGGAAGTGAGAGGGAGTGCAGGGAGGACTTCATAGAGGAGGTGATGCTTGAACTGGTGTTGTTCCTGTTCACTGTCTCCAGAACGCATCTTTTTAAACTGTCCTCTGTACATACTTAAACATTATTTGCACAGATGGCCAGACATCCTTTGAAGATTAATTTAAATATTTTATCTTTTGGAGACAGAGTTCTTGCTCTGTCACCCAGGCTGGAGTGCAGTGGCATGATTTCAGCTCACCGCAGCCTTGGCTTCCTGGGCTCAGGCGATTCTTGTCTCAGCCTCCTGAGTAGCTGGGACTATAGGCATGTGTCACCATGTCCAGCTAATTCTTTTTTTTTTGTAGAGATGAGGTCTCACTATGTGGCCAGGCTGGTCTGGAACTCTTGGGCTCAAGCAATCCTCTCGGACTCGGCTTCCCAGAGTGCTGGGGATTACTGGTATGAGCCAATGCACCCAGCCTAATTTGAATTTTTTAAATGGTCAAAGGGCATAGAGCATCACATAAAAAGTGACATATGACTGCAAAGGAGTAAGGTTTTCATTTTTTCATTCTGCAGGTCAAACACTTGCTCTGGAGGGAGAGCCAGCAAAGGTAGTGTTCTTTGGAATGTTTTTGTGTTTGTTTTTGTTTTTTTGAGTCTGGGTCTCACTCTGTCACCCAGGCTGGAGTGCAGTGGCACCATCACAGCTACTGCAACATTCACCTCCTGGACTCAGGTGATCCTCCCACCTCAGCCTTCCTAGTAGCTGGAACCACAGGCGTGTGCCACCACACCCTGCTGATCTTTTGATTTATTGTAAAGACAAGGTCTCGCTAAGTTGCCCAGGCTGATCTTGAACCCCTGGGCTCAGGTAATCCTCTTGCCTTGTCCTCTCAGAGCACTGGGATTACAGGCGTGAGCCACTGTGCCCAGCCTGGAATATGTTTTAATATTTATTATGGCAGTAGATGAGCACATCGGGATATGTGAGAGAGCCGGAGAGGGCATTGGGATGCCAGGGTACCATTTGCCTAAAATGTGTTAAGGCACATCACCATTACGCAGAAGCTTCTGGAGGAAGCTGAGCAGGAAGTCATCAACAAAACCCATTACTTTGAGTTCGGTGGGGTGGAGGCAAGTACATCCTGCATAATGGCTGCCAGCTACCCCTTTCTATCCTGACCTTCTCAGGGTCTTCATCTCAGCTCACACACTCATGTCTAAGTAGCAGGGTCCCAGATGTGGGTCCATAATCTTCCTATCATTCAGCTATTTTTTCTTTTTTTTTTTGAGTTGGAGTCTCATTCCATCACCCAGGCTGGAGTGCAGTGGCACACTCACCACTACCCCAGAGTCGACCTGCTGGGCTCATGCGGTCCTTTCACCTCAGCCTTCCAAGTAGCCAGAACTACAGGCATGCACCACCATGCCCAGATAATTTTTTGGTTTATTGTAGAAATGAGGTTTCATCAAGTTGTCCTGGCTGGTCTTGAGCCCATGGGCTCAGGCAATTCTCTCGCCTCGGCCTCCTAAAGTGCTGGGATTAACAGTCTTGAGCCACTGTGCCTGGCCTACATTTTCTTAAATAGCAGTTTTCTAAAGGTAATTACAGAATAAATGGGTTTGAATACAATGCTTAGTGAAAATGTATGCAGATGTGGAGCATTCTGGTTTACCCATGTGTTTTGGTGGATGGATGGCTAGTCTCCTGGAGGGAACACTCTGGGTTTTTATGTTTGGGGCATCCTCTGGGAAGGGTTCTCTTCAGTCAAAGTCTCTTTCATCAGCATCTTTCTCCTACAGCATCTCTTATGCTTCCTCCTGGTTCGTTTCAAGATACCAAGGCCATGGGCACCGAAACTTTAGTTCAGCTCAATAATTAATACATAACCATGTCTGCCTCCATAATTATGAGTTGAATGCTGATTACATGCTTGGCATTGTGCTAAGTGTTACCCAGGACACGCACAGTCTGCCTCAAAAACCTTTTCCTTGAAAGGTGGTGTGTGATCCCATCTTAAAGATTTGTGTTACTATTTCTAACTATGAGTATAATGACAACAAAAATGATGTTTTTCTTTAACATGTATTGACACTACATTGCCATTCTAGAATAAATCTAGTAAAATAGTAAGGATAACAATTCCTTATATTTCCAGTATGGTGTCTGAGTTTTAGCCAAAGGAATGTCTGTAGAGGTGATGTACATTAGTCCTGGGCCAAGGCTTTTTTTTTAAAAATGGGAATGTCCCCTCTGCATGCTGTCTTTTCAAACTGATACAATTCGGAAGATAATAAGGCCCCAGAGGATGGCAGAATCCAATATTGCCTTTAGACTTGGACATAGGGGAGTCTACAGGGCCCAAGGAATGTGCCCACAGAGCCTGCACTCCCCCTTCTAGAACACTCTCCAGGCTACTGAAGGACCCTTTTCACAGCCAGCATGGACCTCTTCCCCAAGCTATGCTCCTCATGGTGGGATCCTGTGTGCCTCTAGACCCATGGGATGGCCAAGAGGTGGCTGTCAGCAGGCGTGTGCATGGAACTTGAACTGGGCAGCCTCACCTGTGCACAAAAGGCTCCCTGAGGCTACAGGCAGAGCTGGAGATAGGAGGGGGCAGGCTGATGGGGTATGTGGAAATTTGAGGACTCTGGGAATTCTAAATGGAAGTCTGGCCTCCCAGGTTATTATGAAAGTATGCTTGTCAACATAGGAGTATGGAATATAGTTTCCTTAATGGCTTGTTTCAAAAGTTCTTTAGCTTTTTTTTTTTTTGAGTTGGGGTCTCACTCTGTCACCCAGACTGGAGTGCAGTGGCCTCTCCCACCGCAGCCTCGACCTGCTGGGCTCCAGCGATCCTTCCGCCTCAGCCTTCCAAGTAGCTGGAATTACAGGCATGTGCTACCATGCCCGGCTGATTTTTTGATTTATTGTAGAGATGGGGTCTCACTGCCCAGGCGGGTCTCGAACTCGTGGGCTCAGGCAATCCACTCACCTCAGCCTCCCAAAGGCGTGGGATTACAGGCTAAGCCACCGAGCCCAGCTTCTTTAGCTTTTAAATATTTGGTATGTGTAGGCCTGCCAAATAAAATATAGGATGCCTAGCTAAACTTGAATTTCAGATAAACAGTGAATATTTTCTTAGCATAAATGTGTGTCCCAAATATGGCATGGGGCATATTTATACTAAACAAAGTATTCATCATTTATCTAAAATCTACATTGAACTAGTAATCCTGTATTTGACTTGCTAAATCTGGCAACCCCAGCTAGGCCTGCATTTGTATTGTGGCTGGAGGCTTGTACCTTGGGATAGGCCTAGCGGAGGCACAGTGTGGACACAGCCTGCCTCCTGACTCCCCCAAACCTGGCACCCCTGGCTTGGACTCTTACAGCCATGAACAACAGCCTCTATTGTTTTCGAAACACACATTTTTAGGACTGCTTATTACAGCACTCAGTAACTATTAGTACTAAGTGAAGAAAAATTTCTGCATTCCTTACTGTGAAATACCACAAAACTCTCCAGGCTGGGGAAAGAAAACAGAGCAGGCGGAAGCCGTTTGCAAACAGAGGGAAATACACCCCTCCAAGGACCAAACCTCCTTGTCAGCAATGGAAGTGCTCTGGGCTCTTTTCCAAAGGCTGGGGCTGTTTCACAGCTGAGACCCATGACGGAACCAGACGGAATAGATTCTGTCTCTAACGATGATACCTTGTGATGTTTTTATAGGGTGGTCATTAAATATTAAAATATTTTAAATAATAATAATATATACAACATAAGAAAGCATATTATAAAAATTAAACATCATCAACATTTTATGTATATATATTACGGAGTGCTCATAAGGTATTACACATGCTTCTACTAGCTTCACATGGATTATCTCACTTAACTATGTTAATAATCCTATGAAATTGGTTTTTATTTTTATTTATTTATTTTTTTGAGTTGGGGTCTTTCTCTATCGCCCAGGCTGGAGTGCAGTGGCATGGATCACAGCTCATTGCAGCCTTGACTTTCTGGGATGCTTCTGCCTCAGCCCCTGGGTACTTGGGAATATAGGTGCATGCCAACATGTCCAGGTAGTTTTTCAATGCTTTTTTTTTTTTTTTTTTTTTTTGAGTCAGAGTCTCACTCTGTTGCCCAGGCTGGAGTGCAGTGGCACGCTCACAGCCACCGCAGCCTTGACCTGCTGAGCTCAGGTGATCCTTCTGCCTCAGCCTTCCAAAGTAGCTGGAACTACAGGTGCATACTACCACACCTGGCTAATTTTTTCATTTATTGTAGAGATGAGGTCTCACCAAGTTGTCCAGGCTGGTCTCAAACCCCTGAGCTCAGGCAATCCTCTCACCTCAGCCTCCCAAAGTGCTGACATTATAGGCTTGAGCCACCATGCCCAACCTCAATGTTTTTTTTATAGAAATAAGGTCTCACTACGTTGCCCCAGTTGGTCTCAAACTCCTGGGCTCCAGCAATCCTCCCACATTGGTCTCACAAAGTGCTAAGATTACAGGTGTGAGCCAATGCGCCCAGGTGAGGTAGGTTTTACAAGGGGAGACCCCCCCCCCAAAAAGAATTATTTTTTGTAGGGCAGGCCCCTTGTAGCACAGGCTTCCCCTGCTAGGTAAAGGTTCTAGGGACCCATCGGCATCAGTGTACCAACTAGCATTGTTGTGAGAGACTGTGCTTGGTTTCAGTGAATTTGGGGGGGGAGTTTTTTCAACACATTTGCCCACTTCATGATGGGTGAGTTACAATTTATACAAATAACCTGCCCATACTGTGCTGAGCGTTCAGCAGCTTTTGACCAAAAACAGCATGACCCCTATGCCCTACCCTCTCTATTCACCTGACCTTGCCCCAAGTGACATTTTTTGTTTTCCCTGGATGAAAAAAGTCTTTGAAGGGAAATGTTTTGCCAATATGAAAGAGGTGAAACAAAAAACTGCAGAACCACTAAAAGGCATCCAAATTGACTGGTTCAAAAACCATTTTGAGCAGTGGAAAAAGCATCTATTAATAGGTAGGAATATTGCATCAGACAGAGAGTACTTTGAAGGCAACTAAACTTTAAACACATAAGAATAAGCACACAATGTTTTATAAATAAATTCTGGCTTTTAGGGATCTCCCCTCTTATTATTATTCCCATTTCATAGATAAGGAGATTGAGGTAAGAGGGGTCCAAAATCTTAGTTACTGAGTGGTGTTTAATATATCATGCCTGACTCCAGATCCTGGAGTGTTCTTCCTTTTGTAAGGAAGAATGTGTGTTTCCGTGGAGAACTGCATTTTCTAGAGCACACCTCATTGAACTATCAGAGTCTGAATCTCTGGGAGCAATTTTATGACTCTGTCGATGCTGCTAACAATGCAAAATCATTCTCGTCTATAGACCTGACAGGATTCTGTGCAGTGGGGGGACAACCTCTCCTGCTGTGTAAAAAACCAGGTTTGTGTCCCTTGGCACATTCATATTTCAAGATTCCTTTGCTCATAAAAATGGGTGCTTCTGTGGTTTTTTCTTTGAGTCAGTTATAACATCTGCCTGGTTCCCTCTTTTAATTAATGAGCTAAATAAACTCTTTAACATGGGTTCATTTTGTATCTGTAGAAGAATCCCAATTTTGCCTTTTTTTAAAAAAATTAACCTTGAACAGTTTCAACCACAAGACTTTCACTGAAGGCACATGCATAGCAAGAAAGGAAATATACACAGAGAATAACATGTAACTCGAGGATCTGGGCAGGGAGGGGTTCTCCATCCTTTTGGTTCTTGGTTGTCTGTTATGGGGCAGAGGTTGTCTTCCCCTGATCAGGCTTCAAGACGGGCTCGGGCTCCTCAAAGTCTAAACATAAGAGGACAAGGCCTGGAGACAGTCAAAATGACTTCTCCATTCCAAGGCTCACTTCCACGTTCAGATTCCTATCTGAAGACCTGCCTCTCCTCAGTGAATGTCACCAGAATGGCCCATCACCCCTCCCTCCCAGGAGGTCCAGAAGGTACTGTCCAATGGCCTTCAATGGAGAAACACCCAGAGTATAGTCAGCCTGACATCCACACAAAATAACCATATATACAGTTAGATGAGTTAAGAGTTTTATAGTATTGAGAATAGCTACTATATAAATGCCATATAGAGGCAAGGTCTCGCTAGGTTGCCCAGGATGGATTCAGACTCCTGGATTCAAGTGATCTTCCCACGTCAGCCTCTCAAAGTGCTGGAATTACAGGTGTGAGCCACCGTACCTGGCCGAGGTAGGTTTTATGCAGGGGGACCCACCCACAAAAACCAGAATTATTTTTTAGAGGGTTGGCCTCTTGTAGTACAGATTTCCCTTGTACCACAAGTAGGTAAGTGTCTTAGGAACCCATCGGTATCAGTGTACCAGCTAGCATTGTTGTGAGAGACTGCCTTCAGCTTCAGTGAATTTTTTGCGTTGTGTTTGCTAAAGACACACACACACATACACCACTGTAAAACCTTTAAGAAAAAATGTCACCAAATCCTGTTGACCTCTGCTATTCATCTTTTGTTTTCTTGGTACCACAGTGAGGGGAGTGGTGTGTGAACTTGCAGGGCCATTGAGTAGTGGTTGAGCTTCCCAGGTTTCTACACTTAAGCATCCCAAACAAACTCTAACCCTCAGTAGGATAATTCTGCTCTTTGTGGCCCAGGCATTCTAACAAGATGGCCAAATAAATAACTCTATAACCCACAAAACAAAAAAGATTAGAACCCTCAAGAACTTTGTTGTCATTGGGTAGGAATGAAGATGGTGGGCTGTTAGGACATCTCTGATCTGGGTATGACATCTCCAAAGGGAGGCAGAGGGTCAAGAGTCCAACAGCCATGATTTTGTGCAGCCTTTTACACAAGGTAGTGGTGACTCACTGTGCTGGCCATCTTGGTTTGGGTTGGGGTGAGGGCTTGGCACAGGACAGAGAGGAGATTACTTGGAGCTTGAGGCTCTGTTGGCTGTACAGTATTTATGACCTTGGCAGAACCAGTTAAAAATGAAATGTTTTCATTATAAATGGTAGATTTTCCAGTTTCTTTCACGCTTAAGAAGACACGTGACCGAACATGCTGTTTCAAACGAACTGCGCAGACATACCTTGCTTTCACTTTCATTGGATAGAATTTCTAGGGCTTCCAGGTGGGACAGGCCTTGATACTCATCAAACAGCATGCCGTAGTGCGCAGTCCTCTCCACTGAGAGCTGCTGTGCCAGTCTCTGCTTCTCCTTCTCCTTGGCTTCCCTTAGCATCTGCAGACATACACAATGTTCGTATACTGGCCGTTTGCTTAAAAGCCCCGTTTCCTGCCTAAGACACAGGGAACATTGGGAGGACTGACTTTATACTGGAGAAGGGTAGATTTGAGTCACTTTGGACTTTCTAAAGATGATTTTTTTATTTTTATTTTTTTAAATGATATTTTGATTGATGCGATTGATAACATTTACATAGCATTCTGCTTTGAATTTTACATGTTCACTAGGTACAAGGCAAAACAAAGTAACAATTCTATGACTGGAATAAGACTGGCAAGAAGACACCAAATGCTTAATAGTGTTTTCCACTGGTGTTTCCCATGTGTGTGATTAACTTGCTTATTTTCTAAAATGCCCCCATTTTCTATAATGAGCAAGTTTTATGTATACTGAGAAAGTTTAATCTCTTGTGACAGGATTAATCGCAACTTCTGGACCTAGGCAGACTTCAAAGCAGAAATAAGCTGGTCTGATTTTTATCTGAATTATTAAAAAAATTTTTTTTGCGTGTGTGGTTACCAAATACCTTCAGTAAAAAAATAATAAATATAAACTCAATGTATTTGTCATCAGAAACTTAATACAACTAAGAATGTTAGCTCATAGATTCTTAGGTTGGACTCCAGGAGTATGACTGGAAAATAAGTTCCTCTTCACAATAATAATTTTTCTCTAGTTATTTTTTTGATGATTAAATAGAAAGACAGTAAGATAAATACAAGTCCATCAGTCACTCCCAACTTTCTGCACATGCTTTCTTTGATTCTAAGCATCCCTTATTTGATTCCTCATTAAGTTTACTGGGGCATTAAGTTTATAGGGGTCTTTAATTTTTGTGGAAAGCACTGTAAATATACTGGCCACTGCTACAAGGTCACAAGAGGAAGAACATTAAGAATAGATCTTGGTTTTACTGAGTGCTGATAAAACGATCAAGTTCATTCTCCTTCTGGGTTCTTGAGGTTGTTGGACAACAACCCACTGGGCCACAGAGAGAATTCTCTCTCGTATCTTTAAGACTAAATGAGTACAGACTTTCTGAGTTTTAAAGCCATCCAAACAACCCAATGAAAACTGGGCATTTTTAACACTTGCAATATAACCCAACTACCCCCACTGATCTTGGGGCTTGGTGGTGGTAAATAAAACAACAAAGTGACACTGAAATGGCTTCCTTTCTCTACCCCATTACTAAATCTGTACTTGGGGATAGAGAGGAGCAGGAATGAAATGGAAGGAAAAAGGAAAATGTCCACTCTGGAATGATTAGGATTCACTCAAAACTGGGGAATGAAGTTAGAGCAGCATCAAGCATAGTTAGCTTGGCAATGGATGCTGGTTTGATTTTTCCTCTGGAAAACAAAAGGTGGTGGGTTTCAACTAAAACGAGTGATTCTAGCCTCCCAGAATTCCTGACAGTGGGAAGCTGTGGTGACTTACACTGGTGGAATTTGAGAACCACCCTGTCCCTGTGTTATTCAAAGAGATTCCTGTACCACTGGGATAGCATATGTGAGGCATTTAGGTAATGCATAGAGGCATATAGATGGTTTTCTGAGTTATGTATTTCTTTAGTGTGTAAAGGAAAAATGTAACAGATGTCCCTAATTCAGTTGGTGGCAGCTCCATCCTTGCATTTGCTGGAAAGACCTTTGCAGCATCTTGAGGACCTAGGAGCCATCCTTGACGATGACTCCTGTTATGGATACATTCCCTCCATCAGAAGATCTGACTCTACCTTCAACTGATACCGAGAACCAGCCATTCATCACTATGCTGCCATTTGGTTGGAAAACTATATGTGTATATATGTGCATGTATATATGCATACATAGATATGCATAGATATCTAAGTGTGTATATATGAAGGAGACTCCCCTCAAAAAAACCAGAATTATCTTTTGGAGAGTAAGCCTCTTGTAGTACACTCAGAATTCATTCCTCCAATCAAATAGTCAACCAAAGTTTTTACCTGGAAGTCTTGAGACGGTTGTGTCACGATTTGTGGAAGAAATGTCCTGAGTTATGGCAAACAGATGACTGACTCTTCTACCATGACAATGCACCTGCCCACACCATGGCTCAGTGTTCAGTAGTTTTGGATCAAAAATGGCATGACCCTCCCACGCCCCACCCTCCCTATTCACCCATCCCCCGGGTGACTTTTTTTTTTTTTTTCCAGGATGAAAAAAGTCCTTAAAGGGAAATGTTTTGTGGATGTGGAAGAGGTGAAACAAAAAACGGCAGAAGCACTAAAAGGCATCCAAATGGACCAGTTCAAAAACTGTTTTGAGGAGTGGAAAAGCATCTTGATAGGTCTGTTGCATCAAATGGAGAGTCCTTTGAAGGTGACAAGTTTAAACATGTAAGAATAAATACACAACTTTTATAAATTCTTTTTTGGGGGGTCCCTCCTCATATGGCTACATATGTATTGCTATATCTATATGTATATGTTTACCTGCATCTATATTTAAGTGATATTGCTATAGAATCCATAAGAAACTGCTAACAGTGGTCGTCTCCTATGAAGAATTAAGTAGCTGGGGAAAGAGATGTATTAAAAACTAAAATTCCACTCTTTACTCTTTGGTGCCAATTTGAATTTGAATTATATGCTTTCAATTACCTAGTCAAAAACATAAATAAAAATTTATTTACTTTACTGACTGAAAAAAAAATTGTAAAAGTATATTATCCAACCTGAGACAAAGAGACAGTTCTCTCCATGAGCGTCTTGGTCCGCTTAAAGCCTGGGTCACTTTCTGCAAGGACATTCATAGTTTTCTTGCCGATGAATTCCAAAGCATCAAGACCTCCAGTTAAGACGCTTTTACCCTGCAGATGAGATAATTGCATGAGATTAGATGTTTAGGTTTTGCTGTTTTGCAGCAGTCAGCAACTCCCAGGTAACTGGCACTATCTTCAAACATTAAAATAGATATAAACCCATAATTTTTTCCCACCAAAAGATTTATCATTCATTTAATCCTATTTTCTTTTCCTTGGAAATGCACAGATGATCTAATTTGTAGGACATACAACGTTACTTCAAAACGAAGCTTCGAAAAAAAACCAAAACACCTTAAGTAAAATTAATCCCACAAAGGGATTAATTTACTGACTTTCTGTATGAATAGATATGTATCTAAGACCTGAAATTAACAGGTGACCCAATTGCTGTTTTTGGCTAAAAAAAAGTTTAACCCAAGTAACAGAATTATTTAGAGCAGTCTATTAAAATGTCAAATACTCTTGCTAATTTAGGGAATGCTTTAATTTAGGGCCCTGAAGTGTAAGACCCTCAGGCTATTTCAGCTGGCACTTGCATACTTTCAGAAACTAGTAATAACCACCTCTAATTAGTATATTCATAAAATAAGACAGGGTGATTTCCATGTGGCTTTAGAAACAATTCTCTATAGTTATCCCCGTGCAAATCCCTTTGTCAGTCATTGTTTTTATTTTTTAAAAAACCCCAAGCATCAAGACTTACACAGACAATTCAAGTGAATAGAACTGAGTGTATTTCTTCACAAACTCTTCCATACAAACACCCCAACTGTATAACTGTAATTTTAGTGTGCATGTACACACATCTGTGTTTTTACCTACTGTACATAAAAATACCATACATTGTATTTTATTAATACATGTATTATCTACATGTGCTTTCCAATCTTCATAATTATCATCTAAATAGCAATATTCAATTTCACTGAGTTGATGTACTTTATTAGTCACTTCCACCTTGGGAATTGAGACTTTGTTTTCAGATATGAGAACCAATCAATAATCACATTATAAGTAAGACTTTTTTTTTTTTTTTGAGTTGGAGTCTCACTCTGTCGCCCAGACTGGAGTGCAGTGGCCGCTCCCGGCCACCGCAGCCTCGACCTGCTGGGCTCCCGCAATCCTTCTGCCTCAGCCTTCCGAGTAACTGGAATTACAGGCATGCGCTACCACCCCCGGCTGATTTTTTGATTTATTGTAGAGATGAGGTCTCGCTGCCCAGGTGGGTCTCGAACCCATGGGCTCACGCAATCCACTCACCTCAGCCTCCCAAAGGCGCGGGATTACAGGCTGAGCTACCGAGCCCGGCATAAGTAAGACTTTAAAATGCACATACTTTGGGAAGATGATGGAATATCAGCAATCATACTTCTATGTAATTCGATTTATTGCCTGCTACCATACTTTGAGGAACTGCTTTAGTAGGGAATAAGATGGGAGAAGGAAGGACATGGGAGACTTTGAGTAAGCACAGGCCTGGGGGTGCGTATGTAGTCTCGAACTTGGGGAAAGGGGGCTAAGAAGGTTGGAGAGAACACAGAAAGGAATGTGAGGATGTTGAAGACAAACTCAGAGTGTTCTGTACTGTAGCTCAGAGAGGCCATGAATTTGTGTTTTATAGCTCATATACTGAAAGGGCTCCCTCCATCCTAATCCTACATACTCCCCCATGGGGTGTTTGACTTGTATTGCTATTTGACTCCTAAAACATATTTGCTGCTCCTCCTCCTTCCTATCCAGTCTAGAGATCCTTGGAAAGCAAGGAGGAAAGCAGTCATTTTCTCAGATCACAATGACAATGAGATACCACCTCACTCTGGTCAGGATGGCTACCATTAAAAAGTCGAAAGACAACAGGTGTTGGTAAGGTTGCGGAGAAAAGGGTTGCTTCCACACTGTTGATGGGAAAGTAAGCTAGTTCAACCTTTGTGGAAAGCAGTGTGGTGTTTTCTCAAGGAACTAAATCTTGAGCTACCATATAATCCAGCAATTCCAATTCTGGGAATATACTCAGAGGAACATAAATTGCTCTTCCAAAAGGACGCCTGTACACGTATGTTTACTGCAGCACTATTCACAATACAAAAACATGGAACCAACCCAGATGAACATTAAAAGTGAACTGGATTTTTAAAAAAAGGGTACATATATAAGATGGGATACTGGGCAGCCATAAAGAAGAGCAAAATCCTGTCCTTTGCAGCAACATGCATGCAGCTATAGACCATCATTCTTTTTTTTAATTTAAATTTAATTTTTTAATTTTTTTTAGTTGGAGTCTCATTCTGTCGCCCAGACTGGAGTGTGATGGTACACTCATGGTCACTCCAGTGTTGACCCGCTGAGCTCAGGCGATCCTTCTGCCTCAGTCTTTCAAGTAGCTGGAACTACAGGCATGCGCCATCACACCTGGCTAATATTTTATTTATTGTAGAGTCGAAGTCTCGCCAAGTTGCCCAGTCTTGAACCTGTGGGTTCAGGAAAATCACTTGCCTAGGACTACCAAAGTACTGGGATTACAGGCTGAGCCACCGAGCCCGGCCTAATTTTTAAAGATGTGGGGTACAATTCAGGGTTAGGCATACAAACAGTCATTGTACAGGTAAAGTTTGGGCCTCACTTTGGTCCCCACATCACCTAGTTTGAGATCAAGTGCCCTTATTGACGAAGTGTGCCACCCCCCCATCCCTTCCCTGGCAGTTTCTCACTACTGTCAATCCCTTACTTATAGTATTAAGATAATCGTTCAGGGTCTGCTTATGAGTGAGAACATGTGATACTCAGTTCTTTGTTTCTGTGATACATCACTGAGTATTATAGACTCTAAATCCATCCAAGTTACTGTGAAGTTCATAATTTTACCCTTCTTTATGGCTGCATAATATTTCATCATGTATACGTACCACATTTTAAAATTCAGTCTACTTTCGATGGGCTGCATGGTTGGTTTCATGTTTTTGCTATTATGAATAGCGCTTCAATAAACATGTATGTGCAAGTATCTTTTTCATAGAATGATTTGAGTTCTTTCAGGTATATTTCCAGAAGGGAGATTGCTGGGTTGTATGGGAGGTCGATTTTTAGATCTTTTAGGAATTGTCACATGGTTTTCCACACAGACTATACTAGTTTACACTCCCACCAACAGTGTAGAAGTGTTCCCTTTTTGCTGCATTCTCTCCAGCATCAGTTTTTTGAATGATTGATGAAGGCCATCCTGACTAGAGTTAGGTAGTATTTCAATGTAGTTTTAATTTGCATTTCTTTGATGATTAGTGAGGCTGAGTATTTTTTCATGTATCTGTTGGCTACTAGTATGTCTTCTTTTAAGAAGTGTCTATTCATATCTTTTGCCCATTTTTTAATAGGGCATTTTGGTTTTTTTTTCTTTTTGGGATGTTTGAGTTCCTTGTAGATCCTAGCTGTTAGACCTTTGTCAGAGATATAGTTGGCAAATATTTTTTCCCATTCTGTGGGCTGTCTCCCCACTCTCTTGATGGTTTCTTTTGCTTTGCAGAAGTTTTTCAGTTTGATGAGGTCCCACTTATCTGTCTTATCTCTTATGGCAAGGGCACTTGGGGTTTTGATCAGGAATTGGTTGCCAATTCCAATTTCCATGAGTGTTTCCTGCATTTGCTAAGGTTCTTATAGTTTGAAGTTTTATGTTTAGGTCTTTGATCCATTTAGAGTTGATTTTTGTGTATGGTGATAGGTAGAGGTCCTGTTTCATTCTTCTGCATGTGGTCAGTTTTTCCAGCACCATTCACTGAATAAGTTCTCCTCTCCCTGGTGGTTGTTAGTGGAGGCTTTGTCAAAAATGAGTTGGTTGAGGAATTGAGGTTTAGTTTCTGGAATTTCTATCCTGTTCCATTGTTCTATATGCCTGTCCTTATACCAATATCAGGCTGTTTTGATTATTGTAGCCTTATAATAAAGTTTAAAGTCTGGAAGTGTGGTACTCCCACTTTGTTTATTTTACTGAGGATTGTTTTGACTATTTGTGGTCATTTATGATTCCACATGAATTTCTGCATTGTTGTTTCCAGGTCTGAGAAGAATGATGCTAGTAATTTAATGGGTATTCCATTAATTCTGTAGATTACCTTGGGTAGAATGGACATCCTTGCAATGTTGATTCTCCCAATTCATGAGTGTGGAATATTTTTCCATTTGTTTGTATCATCTTTGATTTCTTTGAGCAATGTTTTGTAGCTTTTGTTATAAAGGTATAGAGCATCATTCTAAGTGAACTATCACAGAAACAAAAAACTGAATACTGCATGTTCTCACTCATAAGTGGGCCCTAAACATTGGGCATGTGAGCACAAAGGTGGGAACAACAGACACTTGGCATTGCTGGGGGAAGGGGAGAGAGTGAGGGAGGGGAGATAAGGGACACACAATCACTCATTGAGTACCAAGTCTGCTCACAGGGGAAGAGAAGCCCATACCTCACCTGCACAAAATGTACTTAGGTAGCAAGTCCTCACATGTAAAACTCCTCATCTCTAACATTAAAATAAAAAATAGCTGTCATTTTCTATATTTCTGGCATGCCTGACCCCAAAGCCTGGGTAAAATGCTCTCATAAGTCTGACCACAGACCTTCTTCCTTTCCACATTATACTGTGCTCTTCTGTTGAGCTACCTCTGTCTTCCAGGATATTGTGTCCTCTTGTTTTATTATGTTCTGGATCTAGCACAGCTCCTGATACACAGTGAAGGTGCAGGGTGACACACACTCAGTGACAACATGAGTACACCCTGGACATGGCCCTAAGCAGGGGGCGGGAGACTGGGAAGGGATCCTAGTAGCGGCAAACCTGGATGTCCCTGGCCCCTCAGGCACCATGCCTGGTGCACGTAGGTCATGCTGAGGCCATGGGTCTCATAATTTTGCCCTTCTTATTTGAGATTCTCTGTGCCTGTTGACCACACCTTGCAGCTATGCATAGTGAATTGAGGCAGTCGGGTCCCTGAACTGGTTCAGACCAGACTGGATAAGCCTGGATCAATGCCCATTACCTTTGGTTGCCTTTAGCTCACCTTTAGCTCATTATAATACCAAAAACCCCAATCCCTAGAGAGAGAGTGCAGCCATTCTGTGTACATGTGATGTCTAAGTGTGTCCTCACACTGTGCCTGCCCACTGGAAACCCCACCCTCTCCATGCTTGACCCTGTCCACCCTGTGTAAGATGCTATATAACCTGTGAGTCTTTTATAATTGGGGGCGGTTTCTTCCAGTTCAGCTGGCTGCTTCTGGACCACTTTCCCTATAAGTTTCTGAATAAATTCCAAGCCTTATCTATTGTCTCTGGGTTATTTATTTGGTCTCTCAGACAAAATGACTTCCCTTTTGGGGTCTTTGGGGGTCTGACACTACAGAGGGAAATGTTTGTGGTTTTAAAAAAAATGAATGAATGGGACATGAGTCATATTTTTAGAAAAATGAGTTAGTTGGTTCTATATAGTAGAAAATAAACATTTTCTTTCTAATCCTGAGGGCCAGTGAGCTGCCTCATTTCAGTTGAGGTGCCTTCCCCTTTTTTCATTATTCATCAGTGTTTTATTGCTAATATCAAGCTTCTTTTAAGAGGCTTAAGGGGATAAATTTAGGGTGATGTGAGGAAGGCAGTGAATAGAACCAGGAGCTAGGGATAGGAGAAGAATGATCTTTGGAAACACCTCAGAAACAATCCGGACTGTGATTCTTGACTTGTTGCTGGTACTTTTTTATTTAAATGGTTTTATGATTTTTCAAGTTTATGGTGAAGTGAAAGAGGCCTTCTAGAAAAAAACAGCTGTTCTCACTCTGACAAAGAGCTCTCTCCCCCCAGCCGAAGGCTGTCCTTGCTGCAGTTGGAAAGGACACTGTTAAATCAGACTGAAAAATGTTTCTTCTAAACAGCTTCTTTCTTTTCAACATAAAATATATTTCATTTTGCTCTTATTATTTGAGATTCAAGGTTATGCCTGCTCTGTAGTAGAAAGCATTAGAAAAAAACCAACCTGTAAGCCAAAGTTATGAGTAAGGCCATCTTTTCTCTGATGTATCTAGGTCACTGGTAAATAGAAATATCAAAAGAAGGCTGTGGAAAGCACCAGGAAAAAAGAGGAAGCAGGGGATACTCAATACTCACGGTGTTCTGAACTGCATTGGTGATGGCAGACAGCATGCCCCGAGGAGCTGATGGAGGAGAAATGGGGGGGCTTTCTGCGGGGCTTGGATCTGTGGCTGCATCTGTTACTAAAAAGAAAAAAAGAAAAATCCTTTGAGAGTTCATTTTGCTTATGTGAACTTGGAAAGCTTCTGATTGTGCACATGGCTTAATAAAACCAAGTCCAAGAACACCCAAAGGAAACACATCACCCACTTTCAGGGGCTCCGTCTTCAGTATCTGTTTGTGCCCCTTCAGAAGGTCCAGGGTTTGCACTGTGAATCCGTAGGGTGGCCCCTGCTTTTTCCTTGACGGCTGTCAATCCATGACCTGTTGGGAAAAAAAATTAGGGTTCATGAATGCATTAGAAATTCATGTTTTGCAAATCTTCTAGCTAATCTTACAAAGCTGTTTTAGATGGTAGACATACCTCTTGATGCAAAGAAAGTGATTATGAGCCAAGGAATCCCTCCTCCCTTAGCTGTGGATTCTAGCATAAACCCAGTTTTGTCACTTCTTGGTTGAGTGACCTTGGAGAAGTTACTTAGCCTCCCTGTGACTCATTTTCCCCATTGCCTTACTGTGAGGAGCAAATGAGATCAATGTATATGTAAAGCACCCCCCTGGTGCTTTATTTGTCTGTTTTGCTTCTCACATCACCTATCAACCAGGGATTCCAAACTCAAGACACCATCTTTGAACTTGGTGAGACCTCGTCTCTACGATAAATCAAATGATTGGCCGGGCATGGTGGCACGTGCCTGTAGTTCTGGCTAATCGGAAGGCTGAGGCGGAAGGATCACCTGAGTCCAGCAAGCCGAGACTGTGGTGGCTGTGAGCGTGCCACTGCACTCTAACCTGGGCGACAGAGTGAGACTCCGACTCAAAACAAACAAACAAACAAACAAAAACCATCTTTGAATCGTCTGCCTGTCTTATCCTCTTTACTATTTTGTAAGCTCCTGATGACAGACATTCCCCATTCATTTTTTGATTTGTTGCAGATCTAGCACATTGCAAGTGCTCAATAATACTGACTGAATTGAAATCAACTGAACCTCAATGTGCTCCTTCAAAATGTAAGGGCTTCCTGTAGAGATGGAGCAAAGGGTCTGGAGCTGACAACCCTAGATCAAGAGACAAGTCAGTGGGGAAAACCAGGAAGGCCACCTAACAGCTCTGGCTGTTGTCTTAAGCAGTAATGGTCTAAGCAAGCTTTAACAGTAGTCAGGCAGGTGAAGAGCCCCATATTCCCCAGAGTCCAGCACAGTGGGTATATAATAATGATTTGGTGAATTCAAAGCTGACTTTCCTACCTACATGGAAAAACCCCAACCTTTCATCTGATGGTCTTGTCTACATTTTATTCTGGAGAGACGTTTCCCCTATTTGAGTTGAGTTACAGCTTTTCTGAGTTACTAAACCCAATAAGGGCATAGTAGCCTGCTGAGGGTCTTAAGTGGCTGTGTGGGTTCTTTAGGATAAGCAGCATGGGAGCAACCATCTCAGTACTTGCCATCCCCTGAGCACTCAGGGAGAAAACCAAAAGTTTTCTCTAGGGATCCAGGCAACCTCAGGGTGTTAAAATACAAGGTAGCGGTGATACTAATATATAGGGTAAAAATCCCAAGTTACAGCAGGATGTGAGAGGTAGAGAGAACCACCTAGTCTTAGAAACCACTATTAAAATGACCAGTTGTCCATTTCCTGAATAAGAAAGGAAGACATGGAAGAACCCCACACCCAAAGAATAGTATTTTATCAATTGTATCCTTATTTATCAGTGGTTTATCAGTGATATTTATCAGTGCAATCTTAACATACACATAGCATTGATATTTACCAAATATAGAACTAATCACAGCCAGTGGAAATAATCGGTCATTATGCACTACCTAGAAAACCCTGAAACTTAAGAACATTATTTATAACTTTAATTACATCTAGAAATATGTGTCTGTATTCATGCACAGGTCATTAGACATAGTTCTAACTCATTACTGAGTAACTTAAAAAATAAACATGTAGCTGGGCTGGGTGGCTCAGCCTGTAATCCCGCGCCTTTGGGAGGCTGAGGTGAGTGGATTGCCTGAGCCTGCGGGTTCGAGATCCGCCTGGGCAGCGAGACCTCATCTCAATAAATCAAAAATCAGCCGGGTGTGGTAGCGCATGCCTGTAATTCTGGCTACTTGGGAGGCTGAGGCAGAAGGATCGCCGGAGCCCAGCAGGTTGAGGCTGCGGTGGCCGGGAGCGGCCACTGCACTCCAGTCTGGGTGACAGAGTGAGACTCCAACTCAATAAACAAACAAACAAACATGTACTATAACTGCTAGAATGAAAACTTAATTCTCTCCAGTTTCCAATGAATTCCAAGCATTTCAATAGAAACATACTGAAGTTTCAGTGACACAATTAACTTAGAAGATAGAATCATCTAAGTTTTACATCTGATTCCATATTATCTGCTATAAAAAAGCATATATTTTCCAAAAGAAAATAATGTACACCCAAATCTCAACTTAGGATTCTCATCTGGATTTCTGAAAGCCAAGGTCAGAGAATAAATGAGTCTGAGGTGACTGGGAGGCATTGTCTGCTCTATCTTCTTTTCTTGAGCCATGCAAGAAACATGATTCCTCATCCTTGCCTGAGACCATTTCAGGGTTTCAAGAAACTCAAGTTCATTATCTTCCCTTTCACCTCCTTTGCAGGTTAGGGTCATTTCTGGTTCTTTTTTGCAGGAAGAACAGTTTTTCACCATCTCAGCACAGACATGAATGCATAAACTCCATGTAGAAAAATTACTTTGTTTCTAGAAGGAAATATCATTTTATGTGCATGCAAATGGGATATGCCTGTGTAACAGATACGAAAACAGGCTGCCATTCCAACTGTATTTTCTGATCAGCAACTCTTTTTCTGACAGTTTTTGTTAGAAAAAGTACACCTTTACTGCATTCTACTAGAAATATAAAGTTAAGCTTTATATTTATGGATAAGTTGTCATTTTTCATAGCTGAGGTCTAGACACTATGCCACACCCTACTCCGAAGAGTAACTTCTAAAACTTTACTTAGTGTGACATCTAGTGCCCAGAATAAGAAAATTATAATCTGGAGTTACTGTTGCCTTTTGACTGGGTCCTACTTATAAGAGAAAAACAACAAATATGAATAACATTATCGATTAGAGAGTTTATGAATTAATTTCTTCACATGTTATTACAAACTGTAAGTATCCTCCAAATATGAAATCCCTCTAAGTTCCATGGTTCTGAAACAAAATATCCTCTGTTCCTTGACTTATTATAGTAAAAGGTGGAACTGCAAAGAAGATACTATTGTATCAATGCTGTGGTACTGTATCCTCTAAAAATAAATGTTAAATGGTTGGTGGGCGTTTATCACATATACTCTAGTGGAAAATACCTTAAATCTTAGGAGTCAGGAGACTTGAGGATTTTTGGTTTCATCATTTATTAGCTGTGTGATACTGGTGAGTTACTTAACCTCTCTGAGTTTCTGTTGCTACATCTTCTGTGAAAGGATTATAATACCCACCTTGCAGGGTTTTGTGAGTTCTTTGAGGAGAAACATGTGAAACCTCTGCTGTGGTCCAACATTTATTGAACACTTACTATGTTCCAGGCATAGTACTTAATTTTTTTTTTTAAATTTGAAGTCTCACTCCGTTGCCCAGAATGGAGTGCAGAGGCACGTTCACAGCCACCCCAGCATTGACTTGTTGGGCTCTGGCGATCCTTCCGCCTCAGCCTTCCAAGTAGTCGGAACTACAGGCGCGTGCTACCACACCCAGCTAAGTTTTGATTTATTGTAGAGATGAGGTCTCACCAAGTTGCCCAGGCTGGTCTCAAACCTGTGAGTTCAAGCAATTCACTAGCCTTGGCCTTCCAAAGTGCTGGGATTACAGGCTGAGACACTAAGCCTGGCCCAGTACTTAATGTTTTTAGGACAGTAAATTACCTCATTTAATCTCGACAGCCTTATGAAGTAAGAGGTATTATTATACCCATTTCAGAACTGAAAAAACTGAGACCTGGTGAGGTGAAAGCACTTCCCCAAGGTCTTAAAGTCAGTAAGTGACAGAAGCAGAATTCCAATCCAGTCTTTCTGACTCTAGAATGCACAAGTGTAATCATTATGTTATATTAAGAATGTTTTATGTGCCATTTATATTGATTAAATGTCATTTTAATCCCATTTCTATAACTCCCTGGAAGTCAGATCTTTGGTCAGGGGCTCCTTCCCTTGTAGAACAACATTTTATTCTAAAGCAAGGTGGAGGTCACCTCCAAAATGAAACATTACTCTAGCCACTCCTCTCCCCTGCTGTGCCTTGTGATTGCTTAGCTTGGTGTTTTTAGGATCATTCCTGTGCTGTGCAGGCTGAGTTCTCAAGGCACTGTGTAGTGCTATCTTGCACATCCACTTTCAATTTTTCTTCTCAGAAAGTACTGTGATTTTACCAAGCCCTCTTCTTATGAGTTCCACCAATATCAAAAATCCATAAAAAAGAAGTCTCCCCTCTTTCTGGAAGGATGAAATAATTTGCTGGTGATAGGAGGTTCTCTCTGAGCAAATGGTAACTTCAGGAAGCTATGCAGCATCCTGGGTGACTGGGTAGCTCAATGGGTACTTCCTATTGGTCCCAAGAAGGGCACAAGCTAACTTATAAGGAGAGTTCCTCACTTTTAGATTGCTTTTTAAAATTTTTTCATTTTTTGAATCAGAGTCTCACTCTGTTACCCAGGCTGAAGTGCAGGAGCATGATCATGGCTCACCACAGTCTCAACTTCCTTGGCTCAGGTGATCCTCCTGCCTCAGCCTCCTGAGTAGCTGGGACTACAGGCACACACTGTCACACCAGCCTAATTTTTAAAAATTTTTTTTGTAAAGACAAGGTCTCACTATGTTGCCCAGAATGGTCTCGAAGTCCAGGGCTCAAGCAATCCTCCCACTTCGACCTCCTAAAGTGCTGGATTATAGGTGTGAACCACTGAGTCTTTTTTCTTCTTTTCCTTTTTTTTTTTAAATGAGTGTATGTTGGCTTGAAAAGACCGAAAAGAAATAAAAAATTAGAAACATATTTGTTGCATTTTTCCAATTTTTTTGTGATAAAATGCACACAACATAAACTTTACCATTTCAACCATCCCCAAGTGTCACCTGTCATCCCTAAGTTCAGTGTCACCAAATATATTAATAATGTTGTGCAACCATCACCACCATTCATCTCTGGAACACTTCGTCTTGTAAAATTGAAACTCCATACCCATTAAACAATAACTCCCATGCCTCCTTTCCACCTGG